TGGTTCAAACCCCGGTCCGGGGGCCTTTCTGGGTGGAGTTTGCATGTTCTCTCCGTGCATGCGTGGGTTTTATCCGGGTATTCCGGTTTCCTCCCACAGACCAAAAACATGCATGTTAGGCTGATTGGTAACTCTAAATTGTCCCTAGGTGTGAGTGAGAGAGTGAATGGTTGTTTGTCTCGTTTGTCTCTATGTGTCCCTGTGATGGACTGGAGACCTGTCCCCCTCGCACAGTGATTACTGGACATGGGCACCGGCGACCCCCGTGACCCAAAACGGAATAAATGGGTAAAGATAATGGATGGATGGATGGATGGATGGATGGAAGTATTTCTTGTTAGTTTGTTCTTTGATTTTTTTTTTTTTAGTCAAATCGGTTCTTCTTATCCTAAGCTTTTCAATGTACTGTTAACCTTGTGTTAACCTTGTGTTAATGTTGCATATAAAAAATAAACACAACTTGAACTTGAACATCAATTTAAAGTAATTTTCTTTCATTTTATGGCACAATTTTGACACATTTTATCCCATTTTGAACCATTTTAAGTGCTTTGTAGCAACACTGGTTTGTGTTTCATATCATTTCTCAGTTTGGTTATTTTTTATTTTCATGTCATGTCCCCCATTATTGAGGTCATTCATTGTTTTGTGTGTTTTTTATTTCTCCCATTATACATTTAAGCAACTTTTTTGGTAAATTGTACTATATTTTGGTAATTTATTCTCACATATATGGTCTGTCTTTTTGTTATGACGTGTTTCAATTTGTTTCCCACATTAATTTATATTGTGTTTGTTTTTGGTGGTACTGGCTTTTATTTCTCAGTTAAAATGAATTGTCACATTATTTGTTTTAGTTTGATCACTCTACATGTCTTTCTTTTTTTTTTTGTAAATTAACATTATAAGGTAACTTTTGTGATGTTTTTGCATTTTAGAACATAATAGTAGTCGGTTTGTCTCTTTATTTAGGTAATTTCTCATAGCTACTTTGCTAGTTTGTTTGCTAAACTCTCATCACTACAGAAGTTTTGACTGTAATTAATTTACATAATTGTTCACTGTTAACAGTGGCCCGAATCAACTTCTATCTAGAAACAACTGTACAGTAATATAAAAGAAAAACACAGTTAAAAAAAACTACAAATAAACATTAAAATAAACAACTTACCTGTATGTTGATGAAAATGTTGTTAGCTTCAGCAACAGCGCTTAACGTCCACAAAATGGCGCCAAATCACCTCTGACTGAACAACGACCTGATTTTACCGAAAAAAATATTTTGAATTAAAACATCTAAATTTTATTGTACTTTTAATGTAAATACTGAGAAACGTGTCTGTAAAAGCGGGTCAGATAAAAAATAAATTGTTAAAAACTTTTGTGACGATTACTGTATGGCAAAAAATATACACATATGACATCAGTAGTTATGGCAAGCCACACATAAAATCGGATTCACCACACTTACATCACAGATATCTGAAATTGATTTATGACTAGACATATTAGTCATTTAAGATATCTTTAATTATTTTTGACTAGTCAGAATACTTATTTGAGATATCTATTACATTCTGACTAGTATAAATGACGTCAGATTTACCATTAAGTTGTATGGAGGCTTCAATTCAAGATATCTTAAAATTAATTTTGACTAGTCAAAAATACAGTTCTAGATATCTCTAAGTTAATTTCGACTAGTCATTATTTGCTTTCAAGATATCTCGCTTTAATTGTAATTATGACTAGTCAAAATTAAAAGATATCTTAAATTACATCATTATTCAATATATCTTAAATGTATTTATTTTTATATCACATATAAGGATTTGACTAGCACAAAAACTGAAAATATCTTAATGGCAAATAATGACTAGGCAAAACTAACTTAGTGATATTTAGAACTGTACTTATGACTAGTCAAAATTCCTTTTAAGATAATAGTCAGAATGTAAATATAGATATCTTAAATTAGCATTCTGTATAGTCAAAATGTAGTTGATCTTAGTCAAAACTCATTTTTAGATAGAATGGTACTGCCTATGAGTTAATATAGTAACCACTAGAGGACGCTGTGTTGTTACATAAATTATTGTGAAATATAAAGGTATTGTTCTTTTTTTTTTTTTTTCTTTTTTCATAACTTCATTTAATAAATATATTAATATTTTTGGAAAAAAATGTATTTAGAAAAAGAACATTAAAAAATTAAGAGCGTAAGAGAGATTCTGGTTTTATCTAACAAGGTTAAGTCTGGTCATCTGGACGGATTCTATGACTTGACTTCACCTTGTTAAATTTTTCTACCTGGATTATTGAGCATGCGTCAGGACATTCAGGCTTTAGTTAAAAACATTTCCATAAGTCTGCTAATATGAAGGAAAGTTACCACAACTGGCACTCTTAATAAACAAAGGAAAGAAAGAAACCTCCCATGAATTTCGAAACAAATTGCATGTTGCCAGAAGAAACACATTTTGCAAGTTGCAGCAATGGCAAACATGTGCAGAGTGAACAGGGAATAGATCAGGGAGGGTTGAGCACAGAGTTCCCCAGGCAACCTGAGCACATGGCATCATAATTAAAGGATGATTCAGAGTCACATGAAACTGCAACAGTTCCAGGATGTACTGAAAGTGGGTTTTATTGTTCCAGGTATTTTTAAATGCAGAGAAGAATTTGCCCCTCTAACCTAAATTTAAGAGCTGGGTTCTGCAGAGAGAAGTTATATCTCCTAGGATCATAGCTTGAGCAGCAGTGGTTTTTGGATTATCTGGAGGCTTTGGGCACATGTATTGAAACAGTGCAGCCTAGAAACAACAAACACAGACTAGTTTTTCTGCATAGCTTACGAACAGGATGCTCTTAATGTTGACAACACGTTACACATGTGAAATAAAATGCAGTCATAGTAACTTGTTTATGTTTGTTAACATAAAGACATGCTTTGGTTAAAGATATCTGAGTCCTATAGCCAACACAACTTGCATTTTGTTAAATTTAAAAGTAAAATGTGTTTTTAAAAAAACATCCATGAGTTTTAGTTTTTAGGACATTCCTGCAGTCTAACAAGTTGATGGTTAAGTTTACTTCAATAATATTTTAGTGTGGAAGCTTTTGTAGAGCTGTCTAATAAAAATGTCCTAATGTATGCATATATAAAGTGAAAAGTATTGGTTCAAACACAAAACCCTGTGGAACTCTACACCGTAAACAGTACATTACAGGCAACAATTCTCTTGTATCTTTTATTCTACAATAAAATTACTGGAAAGCTAATTATAGTAAGGCAGCACTGTGGTGCAACTGGTAGAGCTGCTGCCTCTCAGCGAGCAGGTCCTTGGTTCAAACCCCGGTCTGGGGGCCTTTCTGGGTGGAGTTTGCATGTTCTCTCCGTGCATGCGTGGGTTTTCTCCGGGTGCTCCGGTTTCCTCCCACAGACCAAAAACATGCATGTTAGGCTGATTGGTAACTCTAAATTGTCCCTAGGTGTGAGTGAGAGAGTGAATGGTTGTTTGTCTCGTGTGTCTCTATGTGGCCCTGTGATGGACTGGAGACCTGTCCAGGGTGTACCCCGCCCCTCGCACAGTGATTGCTGGACATGGGCACCAGTGACCCCTGTGACCCAAAATGGAATAAACGGGTAAAGATAATGGATGGATGGATAGTTATAGTAATACATTAGTATCTTAAAAATACATAAAGAAATACTAATTTGTACTTGTAGTTAAAACACAGTATAAAACTCTTCTAAATAGTTAATGTAATTTTCAGTACAGTGCTACTATACAACCTACTGTGCTCATTACAGTGAAACGTATTTTCCAGTTGTTGAAATCAAGCAAGGACAAAACATTTATTATACAATTTATTTTTAACTTGCTGTGAGAAAGAGACATATTTTACATTAATAAACCACATCAGCCTATTTATTCCCAAAAACAAGTCAAGTAAAGAAAGTTAAAATTACAATATTCTCTGAAAAATACCTATCAGCTATATTTGGCACTATAATGAACAGATAATATGTAATTTAATAATTGCAAGTACTCAGCTTTAAGTGGGGTAGAAAGAAAAAAAACCTAAGACTGTACACATCAATATTACCCATAAGTGTTTTTTTTCTTTTTTACCCATAGTAAATAAAACATTGAAAGATCATGACAGGGAGGGGTCAACTTATTCCTTCTGTTTCAAGCTGGATTTCTGTAAGGTTAAAAGAAAAAATATGATGACCTTTTGTTTTGTGTGTATAATTTCACACATAAAGGATGACTCAGCACAGAAGAGCAACATCATCAGGCCAGGACTCTGCAGTTTACACTCATCTCCAGGCCAGCAGTCACTCTTTCAGGGATGAACATTGTTGATTGTTGTTATTGTCTATTGTTGTTGTCCATTGTTGTCATCACTCTTTGTTGAAATCAGGTCTCTCTTGTAAATGAGTCCTCGGGGCTCAATGGGACTAACCTGTCTAAATAAAGGTTGAATGAAAAAAGGTACCGCTTATAAAACGGAGTTTGTTACAACTCCTCATGAAGAAGTCTTCTGGATAAAAGACGAAACATTTCAACAAAGATAAACCCATCCATATTAACTGACTCAACCTTGTTAGATTCCCACAAAAGATCTCGCACTGCGAGTTTGGTTAACTTATTTCATGACTGCGGTCTTTATTTAGTGTAGAAAGTTTTGAGAAGATGACAGCAAACAGAAACCTGTAAATTAATAGATTGATTCACATTCATAGAAAGGAGAACTATACCAGATTATTTAACCAGACTAATTTTTTTCACACAGCTTTTCTAAATATAATCATGTATGGCAATCAGTGTTTGAAGGGTGCCACCCAAAACAGCTCTGTAACTATCAGTTATAATTAAAAATAGAGCTTAAAGCAGGAGTGTCCAAAGTGTGGCCCGAGGGCCATTTGTGGCCCTTGGAGTTATGTTGAGTGGCCCACAACTGCAGTTAAAGAATGGTATAATTTTGACCTACAGGTTTAAGAGGTTGATGCAGATATAGACCTTTAGATTTAACATAGATACTTTTTAAACGTTTAGATTTAACAGCAAAACAGATGAAAATAATCTTTTAAAAATGAGCGATATTAAGGACAATACAAATATTTAATTAATCCCTTTATCTGCAACAAACCTTCACTGACCTGACAAAAAGTAGAATTTTGGATAACAATTCATAAAACTTGGCTAAATATAACAAGTGTTTTCAAAGAAAATAATTTCAGTTGATTAATCGATGGGGAGAAATTGGATATTTTTTAAAAGAATATAAAGATGTATCATGGACATACAAGTTGATCAACTTTATCAGTGTCCCTTCAAACCTTCCATGAATCTGTTTTAGCTGGACGGGTTTTCTGAACTTCGATGACCCTTTTGGGTCATCCATGGTCCAAACGGCTGATTGAAGTTACACCCCCTTTTTTAAAGAGCAGTCACTCATTTTAGGCTTTTGTCTCTGACAATAAATGAAAATTAACTTTCTAAGCACAAGAAAACAAATAATAGACCACAAAAAATCCAATAAATTAAATTCTTAAAATAACAAAAAGGTTAAGGTTTATGAGGTTAGGGTTTCAAAATCTTGTTCAAGTTGTTAAGAGTTTAAAAACAGGGGGTCACGATTTTTTATTTTTTTTTATTTTCTTAAATTCACATTTTTCTGGCCTGCGAGTCCTTTCAGTTCTAGCCCACATATGAAAACGTTTGGACACCCCTAGCTTAAAGATGTACGAATCACTCAGTGAAAGATTTAAGGATCTTTTTCTCTTCAGTATAAAAAAGGGTGGATGGTTCTGGTTATAATAGTTTGGGTGTGTCAAAACAAAAACCCCTGCGCTCAAAAATTGACAGACGTCTGTTTGCCTCTAGGCGCTTTTCTTTGGTCACATGATCTCATTTCAGATTTCGCTTAGTGTGAACGCCTGACGACAGTGACAGGTGTGTCCATGATTACTGTAAACATCAACAGGTTTGTGCTGATCGAACTGTCAAGTGGACTAATGAAGACAAACCACTGATCTCTCACAATGCATTGCTTTTACGCTCTTTGCAAAATATACGTTTGTATTAGTTTGGAAAAACACAGTCACTAAAAGTGCTAAAAGAGCCAATAGTTTTTCAAGATTTAGACAAGAGGAGGAAAAAAATGAGACCTGAATTTAAACCTGACAAACCCTGCAGCAACAAGGTCAATTAAAGCAACAGAAAACCAAAGGGCATGGCCGCATGAACAAAATCTCCCATCCGAGTAATTTACAACAGAAGCAGAAGTTATGATCAGCATTTAGCTACCTAACCAAAGAAGTCTGGGCAATAATGGACAGAGAATAGTTATTTTATTCTTGTGATGAACTCAGATAACACTAAGACTGGCAATAAATGCATTTTCTTTAGAAATCTGTGTGGGTTAGCTCCTCTGTAACAAGAGAACTAAACGTTTACATATAATTTCCAACAAAACTGTCAAGTTTTGGGACTTCAGTTCGTGTTACACTATGGTATTTGAATGAGGATGGTGCAAGACACATGTGAGGACGGATGTCTAAGTTGAGGCCGTATCGCACCATCAATCAGCATTGAGCACGTTACTGGTTTTAGTGGTGACGGCCAGGTTGACTGATGAGGTCAGACAGAAATGGTCATGAGCAATAAGTTTGCAGACGACACTGTGATCTGAAATGGGAATGGGGAGCAGGTGGAAGAGAGCCTGATGAGGTGGAGGGATGCTCTGGATAGAACAGGGATGAAAGTTACTCGAGAGCCAAACAGAGCAGGTGGAACTACGAAGCTGTAAGCAGAGGAAGGATTGAATGAGGAGAAGAGGGAGACAGAGTGAAGATGAGACTGAGATGGTTTGTATGTGAGCATGAGGGATAGTGGAAAAATCTTTCAGTGGTTCCCTTTTGCTGCACTAGATAAAACCCTAAAATGTAATTTATGTTGGGAAAGTTTATACCTATGCTGTCACATTTTACTTACAGTCTTTCACCTCATTGGGATTAATTTCATTCCCAGACATGTTTAATGCATTTCATGCCATACAAATTAATGTGTAACTGGCTCGTGGACATTCAGCTGTAAGACATTCATCTAGATTCTCTTTGTTAGCATATTTCAGGTTCAAGAATCTTTATTATCCCCGAGGGGCAATTTGTTTCACCGTCAGTAAAACATCCATACTACAAAAGACAGAGATGTTAAAATAACAATACATGAAATCATCGCTGTTCGTTGAGAAGTCTGATCGCTGCAGGGATGAAACATCTAGGCTGCAGATACCTGCGTCCAGATGGAAACAACCTGAACTCACCATGGATGATCAAGATCTGCCAGAATCAGCCTCACTGACCTCGCCTTGTGTAGGTCAGTGAGGTTCTGTAGAGCTACGCCAGCAGTTTTGCTGCACATCCTGACGATCCCCGAGAGTTTGTTCCTGTTTTGAATTTTGAATTTTTCAAATTACATTATTTTTCCAAACCTTTTATGATCCTTGTCCTAAAAAGATGGCATACATTTGCCATTTTTGAATATTTAATCATCTCTTCTTGTACTGATTAGAATAAATTGAGGACTTTAAATGGTTGTTGCAATCCTGTTTGTTGAACATATAACAGCACACGGCTCTAAGGAAAAGTTCTCACATTACTTTTTAAAGTTTACAGCTGACTTGTTTTTATTTGTAAGAGACACATGTACCATCCATCACATCAGAGACTGTGATTATAAAGATGTTGCTACTTGTCCAAATCTGACATATATACTTTAGATGCATTTATATAACAACAACAAAAACACAGCAGTGTGTATTATTTATGACAATGAATGTCATAGTATTTGAAGAACGGCTGTTCTCAGCCACTCCCCATCCGCACATGTCTGTTAGCTGCAGCTCTTTCACCAATAACTTTGGTTGTTCAATTTCTGACAAAAATGCAAAGACTCGCCCTGCCCTCGGGCCTTCGTGATGCACCTAAATTATACTTTAGAGATGTCATTAATGTTGCAGAAGAAAACGCCTCTGTTTTCCCAGCCAGACTCAAATCTTACCTGTTCTGCAACTATCCAACAGTCCCTTAGACAACAAGAGGGCAGAGCTGCACAAACACACCCACATTCTTCATTTTAAACTCCACCTTATAAATACGGAGGCACTGCGGGCATCACGGAGCAAATAATTTCCCTTCTGAGTCAGGTATGCGTTGGTTTATATTTAAAATGTCTGCAAATTGTCAAGTTTTAAATGTATGAGTTTGTTCTTCTTCTTTTTGCAGGAAAACTTTGCTCTCATCAACAAGACAAAATGAGTGACAGTGAGTGTCTTTGTTGCATGTTTTAGAAAAGCTTTTCTGTTTTTCGGTAAAATTAAACTGACAGAGAAACTCTTTTTGACTTTTGATGCAGTTTCTACACGTTTTGTTTGTTTCATTGTTCCACATATTCATGCACGCGCTCAACAAATGGTGTTAATGAATTTTTTCACATCTTGTCTTTGTGTTCCACTTTTTCCTCAGACCCAGACCCAACCCAGGCACCACCAAAGGTGAGTTGTTTTAATCTTTCCCTCCAGTGTTCATCACAGGGTGGGGGTGTTCATATGTGTACTTATGGTGCTGTTTTCTTGTCTCTTGTGAAGCCGGACGACCACAGCAAAGGGGATAATGATGTAAGTACATCTTTCATGCTCCTCGTTTGTTTTATGTTGTTTTTCCTCAATGGCTCATTTTTTCATTCTCATGCACTCATGCATTAAAAAGGGAAAAGGGCATGGACATGGTGGACATGGACATGGTCCTGGTGGACATGGACATGGACACGGTGAGGGAAAAGGTGGACGTGGCGGACATGGACAGTGTGGTCAAGGAAAAGGTGGTCATGGACATGGGCCAGGCAAAGAATGAAAGAAACCACTCCAGCAGTCCTAAATAATGGATGATCATTAGATTTAAATTTTTGTAATATTGATTTATCATAATTGTATTGCATCTCTAATAAAAATGATTCAGAAAATATTACCAAACCTTTCTGTGGTTATTTTAGGTTTACATGACAAAGTTGTGAACACTACAATGTTGCTTTTATCCAGATCATCTGATCTGCTCTTCGTCTGATCATCATGTGATCTTACAGAGCTCAGTGTTTATTTAACAATGCTTCCTTTTAAAACTCTAAAATCTGTTTTGTTGGCTGGTAAAAAAAAAAAAAAAAAAAAGTTCTTTGTTGGTTTTTAAAGAATAATTATTCCCAAAACCTGTGATATGAAAGCTGTTTTTTTAAATGTCATGCATATTTTGTGATAAATAAAGGAAAAACTGTAAAACAAATTAGAAAATCACATTTACTGTGTAAAAAAAATGATGATCTAAATCAACTTCTTAAGTTAAATAATGTGCAACTTTATAATTTTGGGTTAATTTGAAGGTGAAATAAGAGTCAGGTGGGTGTTTTATCTTTTAGTGGTCTAACAGCATATTAAAACATTTTAATTTCTTGAATCAGTCACATATGTGGCTCACATGTGAAATATTAATGTCATTGTTGTCATTTTAAAAATATTTGAGCAGCTGTCTTGAGGGGATTAATGCAATTTGATCTTTCCTGTTTAACCAGTTTGTCTAAATTTATGTTTTACAAATGGACCACGGTCTACTATGGAAACCATAGCTTCTGGGAAAGGTTACAGAAATAATGTAGTTTAAAATTTAGAAAAATCCAGTTGTGCATTTTTTTAATTTATTTACAAATGGAGGAAATTCAAGATCATTGTCATTCTCCTCTAAAGAGATCAACTCTCTGCAGTGTTAAAACATAAATCAGAATAGATTCCCTTCATTTAAAAGTCACATTTAATGAAACCATCAGGACAACGCTGGACAAATCTGTGCATGGCTGCAGGGAGAAAATAATTAAGTGCATCTATCTGGTGTTTTATGTTTTTCATATACATATCACTTTTTACTCTAGAAAAAAATCTAAATTATCAGCTTTATATTCACTGACCTAAAAAAAGAAGCATAAAAAGAAAAAGACAAAACTATCAAGGCATTCCTGGAGCAAAATGTGCTGCTCAGTGTCAGAAAGCTTGGTCTCAGTTGCAGGTCTTGGGTCCTCCAGCAGCATAAAAAGCCAAAACACAGCTAAAAACATCCAGAACCAAAACATTTGATTATTCTGAAGAGACTTCCTGAGGCTGCATCTAAATCCTGTTGAACATCTGTGGAAGGAGCTGAAACATTCATGGAGAAGGAACTCTTCAAAGATGAGACAGCAGAAATTCCCTGTGGACAGGTGCAGGAGTCTCAGAGTAACAGAATTCACTTTAATATAATTATCAATTATAAAAATTTAATATTACATGAAGGGTATAGACCAACTTCATTCATTTACCTTTCAAATTCTGTTAAACCACATTCCAAAAGCTTTGACTTGTTTTCATTTATTCTGCTATTTCCTACTATTTCTACTTTATTACTATTATAGATACTCAAGTAGTTTTCCACCTTCATACTCAGAGTGAACAGGTTGAGCAGCTTTATTAAACCAACTGCTCTCCTGTTGGTCCAAGTTTTGTGCTTCAGGGTCTAAATCTGTTCACACTGCAGCAGTTTTTCTTGTTCAGCATAGACTCACCTTAGAAGTCCTCTTTTCCACTGTCCTCGTGTTTCCACTTGAATTTTTAAAGCTCAAATGCTCCAAAAGCAAACTCGTCACTCAATAGTTGGTGTTTTAGAAAACCTAATTAAATTTTCTAAAAACCATCAGATTAAATGCATAAATGAAGCAACTCATTCAACTGAATTTTCTAATTTTAAAATTTGGACAAAAATGAGACAAGTGCATGTTTAACTTGATGCAGTGCTCATTAAACGAGAACCAAACCAAGTAAAACTGAACAGTGCATGCATGTGCAGCTTCTATTTATGGACACCACACATGCAAACATGCAGTTAAAAGAAGAAGTACCACCGCTGGATGTGTCCTCTTTCGTGACATCAAGTTTCTGCAGGCATGAGCTCAACACATCGGTTATTGTCCTCAATAAGTCCAAAACCACAATGTCCTTAAAACTAAACTTTTACTAGTTTTAACTCTGACTGTTTTGGGTGGCGCACTTGGTTGAGCTGCTGCCTCTCAGTAAGCAGTTTGCCCCGATTCAAATCCCGGTCCAGGGTCCTGTTTGGGTGGAGTTCGCATGTTCTCTTGATGCATGCGTGGGTTTTCTCCAGGTGCTCCGGTTTCCTCCCACAGACCAAAAACATGCATGTTGGGCTGATTGATAACTCTAAATTGTCTCTATGTGTGAGAGAGTGAATGGTTGTCTTGTTTGTCTCCATGTGTCCCTGTGATGGACTGGAGACCTGTCCAGGTGTCCCCCGCCTCTCACACAGTGATGACTGGATATGGGCACCAGTGACCCCCGCAACCCAAAAAGGAAGAAGTGGGTAAAAGATAATGGACTGATGTTTTGAGTTGTAACATTCTGGGTGTGTCAAAAATAAACACATCTGTCATTAGATGAGTGTTTGCTCAGGTCACCTCACCTGATCGGGACTTGTTGGATCTCTTCTGTGAAGACAGTGACAGGTGGCCCTGTCACTGTTTAAAGTGCTCTATAAATAAAATGGTATGGAATTATTTTCCAGCAACAAGAACTACACATTTGATGTGACAGTAAGATCTGGTGGCGAGTGTTACCCATACAACCAGTGATCACTGGTTTGGTGCAGCCCTCCTTGTAAAAACAGCATGGCTTTAACACCAAATTTATTTTTGTGATTTCCTTTGTTGCCATATAATGTATAAAACACTGCATGTATTTACAACTAAAAAAGAATGATTGTTTTGGATCTACTTTGCCCTTCTTTTATTTTTTTACATGGTTTACGTTTTATTTCACAATGCACAATTGCAGGAGCAGGAGTGGAACAGCTGACTAGTGCAAACATGTTGGTGTAAAACAAGCAGAATGTGTTTTAAGCACTTCATGAAGGGGAAAAAACTTTAATTGTAGGTATGTTTTGTTTTTTTTAATCCTTCAGGAGTGATCATGTCTGCTCCTTCACCATCCCAGTTCACCTGACTGCACAAACAAGTCCAAACCATAACCCCCACCTCCATGCTCTACAAGTAATATAACATTTTTACAGAAATGACAAAAGCAGCAGTTTGAAACGTTCTCTGTGGTCACAAAGATGTCAGTAAATCCTTAAATGTTCTTTAGATGACCACTTCCGTAATCCCAGTTTTAGGGCTTTTTTTTTTGTTTGTTTGGTGGTGCCCTGTCCTCGAGCATTCCTGAAGATCATAAAAAAACCTTTGAGTTGTCTGTCCTACAATCATGCACTCCAGTTTGACAACAGAGAGGCAGCGCTGCACCACCACACCCACATTCTTCAGCTCTAACACAACTTTACACAGACGAGACAAACCATGAACGGTTTGTGTCGCTGGACTGTAAAAACGCAGCAAAGGGGTTTAAAGTTAACGTTTCCGAGAGTGACGATTCTGAGTTTGTAGTTTTTCAGTAAAAAAAAAACAAGTTCTACAAGACAAAACAAGTGACCATAGGTCTCTTTAAATACAGCATCTTTTAGAAGTGGATTCCTTTAAAGACATTATCGCTCATTTTGTTCACATGCCCGTTACAAAATATCTCATAAACCGCTGGATGAATTTTAATTAAACTTTCAAAATGGATGTACAGCTGATAAACTTGAAATCATTTCAAGATGGCCACTGCAAATAACCAATTATTAACCATCATGTAAGGCTATAACTCTGTCAGCTTTACAAACACTGAGCTAAAGTTTGAAGTGGTAGTAGCTGACAGTCGTACACAACACACTGACTGAGCACAACCTCTTGCAATGAGATTGTGACAATCAACTTTATCATTTCTCATCAGTTGATTTTAGTCTAAAATGTTGGAAGCAGGCAGGTGGCATGCATTCCTATACCTTCCTGTGATTTTAGTTTGGTGTAGCGGTTTCTTCGTTACAAGTTTGTTTGACCCAGTTTTGGTTTCATTTATATATAAGTCCATAAAACATCTCACTTTTTATTTATTTCCAAAACACAACCATTTATTTCCCTGTTGCAGGGGTTGCCATAGTGAGCACCGTACTTGCCGCCGTACACGTCGCACCGCCCTATAAGTCGCATCAGTCCAAAAATGTCTAAGTGGAGAAAAAAATTAATAAATGTCGCTTCGCCGTATAAGTCGCACCAATTATGTATCACCTCTGAAGCGTCTCATTTGTTATGCATCACCACTGACCACCCAGAAACGCGGGCTGGTGTTGTGCCAAAGATGGATTGGCTGACAAATGGCGGCCGATGGTGCGTGCACGTGAGGACTTTAACAAGAATTTAACAAGATTAACACTTAAAAACAATTAGTTGTTTGCTCGACATTATAGCAAAGGTGTGTCTCAGTTGAACTTTTCCTTAATAAATGCACTTTAATGATCAAATCAGCTGCATTTCACCTGGGCAGTGCGGCGAAATGAAGCTGGTTTAACATTTGCTCCAGGAGTTCTGGAGCAAGATGAAAGTGGCTTACTAAGGCAAGTCAAGTGTCTCATTAATAGCCACTTTTACCCATTAACGAGACACTTGGTTTGCCATATTAGTCGAGAGCCCTCTAGTGGCTGAAAATAGTAGTGTTCAATATTTCCCATGTCAATAAATGAAATCGTCAGATCTCACACAAAAATTGGGTTATAAATATGGAAAAAATAAAGAAAGAAGTCCCTTCGCTGTTTAAGTCGCAGGGCATGCTAATTTATGCAAAAAGGTGCAATCTATACAGCCCAAAGTACAGTAAATTTATATAAGAATTTTGATTTTTGCAATTGTTTTACATCTGATGCCCTTCTAGACACAACCTGGGCTCGAACCTGCAGCCTCAGAATTACGAGACTGCGGCACTGACCACCGAGCTACCACAGACCTCAGAAAGCAGAGCTTATATGGATGAATTTAAATAAAAAACACAACAAAGTTTGGATGAAAC